GGAAGGAGAGCTCTTTGAGCCATGTACAAATTGCTTTTTAGACCTTGGTGAGGTGGCTTGGCAGGGACACAGTGCACGGGGGTGAGGAGCGGGATCTGAAAGGGGAGATGGGAGTGCCAGGGGCTGGGTGCCAACGTCCCTTCCTCCCCCAGCTCCCTCCTCTTCGTTCCTTGGATCCCTTCTGCATGTTTGGACGGAGAGCAGGGCAGGAGGAGACAGAAAGCCCTCCAGTTCTTCTCTCCAGCCGTTCCTTTGGAAGCAGCCCTAATGAGACCCCGGGCAGACCCCGGGGGAGAGTGAGAACGGGAGGGAGCCCTGCCCGCCGGGATGGGGTTTGGGGCGACCCTGGGTTTGGAACTGCAGACACCCCCCATGGCACCTCTCGCTGGGTTTGGGCTTCAGAGTTCAAGCTCAGCGTGTTCCCTGGGAAGTTGGGTGACACCGGGCACACTTTTTGGCCCCAGGTCCCTGGCGTCTAGACGAGGCCATGTCTATTTCCTGGCATTTGATTCGTTGCTTGAATAGGGTGTCATAGATTAAGCAGTTGGAGGAGACTGTATCTCTGACTAATGTCCGCCAGCTCCCACCCTCTTTGCCTGCCTGGGGTGTTGGCCAGATGTTTGGGGTCGAATTGCTCCACGGGTTAATGGGGTGTTGCTCTTAGGGGCCAGGAATCCCTGGGGGTCTGCTCTAGATTCTTGTTTCTCCCTGATGGTGGCTCACCTATCCCCAGTCTGCTCTCCTTAAGGAAGGCCCCACAGCCGTATTGGGCGGTGGTGAGCATATAGGTGCTCAGGGTCCTGCTGCAGCCCATTTAGGGGGGGCGGGGTGGGGGGGAGCATGAGGCGTCCTTAGAGATGCCCCTTCACTCCCCACAGGACTTTAGCGAGCGCACATTGAATTCCAGGCACCGAATTGCAACTTACTACAACGCTAGACACCCTTCGAACTGGTTTTGCATCTATGAACTCAGTTAATTCTCAGAAAATCCCGAGGAGAGAAGGGCTGTTATTATCCCCACTTTACAGATGGGGATACTGAGGCACAGAGAGGTTAAGCAGGGTCACCCATTAGGAAAGGGCAGAACTGAGTGTTGGACTGAGCAGTGAAGCTGCAAGTCTGCTCTCCGTGCCCCCCACCCCCCACCTTTTGCCAGGCATTGGCAGGATTTTTGGTGGGAAAAAGATGGACCAACTTTTCCTAACTTTTTTAGCCTCATGAGCCTCCTTGGGAATCTGGTGACCGCTCTCCAAAAAGAATGCATCCGAATGTACCAATATGCCACATTTTCCTTACGATTTCAGGGGGTCCGTGGGGACCCCTGGCCCAGGAACAGCTGAGGGTGAGTGTCTTCATGTGTTTCCTGCTGTGCCGAGGCTGGAGTCATTGCTCTGAGCGTCCGCAGCATTTATGGGCTTTGCTTGGAGACAACCAGGCTTTGCTTGGATGTGTGATGGTCCGTTCCCTCCCCCGCCCCCCCACGCTCAGCTCAAGAGCAGATGTGTCCGGGCCTCAGCCTGGGGCTCCCTGAGGGGAGGGCTATGTTTCCCCCCTCAGACTGGGGCTCCCTGAGGCAGGGCAGTGTCTCCCCTCAGCCTGGGGCTCCCTGAGGGCAGGGCTCTGTCTCCCCCTCAGACTGGGGCTCCCTGAGGGCGGGGCTGTGTCTCCTCCCCTCTCTGACTGGAGAGTCCCGGCCTGTATTCTCTACTCTTTAAAGTCTCACGAAGGAGGGTGGCACCCTCAGGCTCCCTCCTTTGGCGCCAGGGAAGAGGTCTTAGTTCAGCCTTTTCAGTGCTCTCTCCCTTTGCCTGGGGCCTTGGAGACACTTGACCTCACCACCCAGTGTCCAGTGCATCGTTGTTTGCTCTCGCCCACCAGGCCGTGGAATCCAGACCAATTCCTTGGGGGAGAGCAGGGAGGAAAGGGGCCCCAGGCTCTGTTCCCCAGCCTCAATTTCAAGAACAAAAGAAGCCAAGCTCCAGGCTGCTGTGCGGGCAGCTGAAGGGCTTTATGCTGTTTTGGGGGAAAAATACATTTTGCCTGTTGGAAAGAATTTCTCTTTGAGCTCTCCAAAGACAGAAAGTGGAGAAAAAGCACTTACGGTCTGGTGTGGCCGTGCCCTTGTGGTTGGGGCCCTGCCTCGGGGCAGAGGACCTGGCTCCTCTCCCTCTGCCTCCTGCTGTCTGTGTGCCTGTGGGCAAGTCACTCACCACTCACCACCTCTCTCTCTCTCTCTCTCTCTCTCTCTCTCTCTCTCTCTCTCTCGGCCTCGCCTCGGAGTCGGGAGTCCTTGGTGCCTCAGGCTGAGGGTCACGTGAGACCTTTGAGGTGCTGTGTGTGTACGCGGTTGCAGTGGGAGAAGCCCAGGCCGTCAGGCCCCCAGTGTCCCAGCATGCAATACTTGGACTGCCACTGTCAGAAACGTGGTGTGTGGGTGTGGGTGTGGGTTGTGGGTGCATATGGTGGGGAAGTTAGTTGAAACATGACTTCCAGGACCCCATCCAGACCTGCAAAATCCAGGCTCTGGGCACAGGGCCCAAGAATCTGCCGTTTTACGAGACAGGGCAGGGATGAGTCCCAGGAAGTGAGAGGCTCCTTGCTCATGGTGGGGAAGCCACCATCTCAAGGCCGTGAGAGTAGGCTCAGCAGGTCCTGAGGCTTCTGTTAGGACAGGCCCTCGGGGTGAGGCACAGATAGGGACAAGTGTGGATGACGTAAGGGATCTGGGGGGAGTTGGGGGGGAGGTAGGGTGCAGGGACTTAGGCAAAAGGGCGGAAGGTCCTTAAGGCTGAGTAGGAGGAAAGGATGGGAGGCCAAAGAGGAGCCCGAGGCTGGGGTGAGTGGGGCTGCTGTCAGCCAGTGGGGGATTCAGTGCATCCTCACCACGGGGTGCTGGGAGTGTATGGGTTGGGGGTGGGCTTCCTTGGTCAGGTGAGAGGGGAGGTGGCTCGTGTCGCCCATCCTGTGTCTCTTTTTTTCACCAAGTGAACCTGAACACGGGCCAGGAGAGTGACCACTCTGTTCAGCCCTGGGCGGATGGTGACTGACCCTCTGGCCAGCCTCACTAGGCCCAGGCGCCCCAGAGCAGTCCTGAAGGAGGGACTGGCTTAGCCCTACTTTACAAGTGGGGACATTGAGGCACAAGGAAGGCAAGTAACTTGTCCAGAGCTGGAATGCAAACCCCACTTGTCTGCCTGCTGCCCGTGCACTTAACCACTAGGCCGCACAGCTAAGAGAAAGGCTAGGGGCCGGTCCAGAGCGTGATCAGACGCCATGCAGGGGGAGGGACAGGAGCCCTGCCAGTGTGGCCATTCCTCTTGGTCTTCCTTCATCCATCTGATTTGCTGGCACCCGCGCTGAGTCAGATGCTGGGCTGGCCCGCAGCAGAGGTGGGGTCCCTAGCACGGAGGAGCACCCAGCCAGTGTGAACGATCGATGTGTCCCCCATTTTGCAGCCCGCGGGGGCTGAGTATGGACATGGGGTCCCACAAGCCGGGGGGCTGCACATTACAGGCCCAGGAGGGCTCAGGGAGGGGAAAGGAAATGGCTGCTGCTCAGTGCCCGTTCGGGGAGAGCAAAATCGAGGATGGCTAGGAATGGTACAAGGGCTTCATCGTCCTCAGGCATCTGGGTCAGGCTCACCCAAGCCCCAGGGCTCCGTGAGACTCCTGGGGTCTCAGGGCAGGGAGCCACTGAAGCTCCATGCCTGGTTCTATTTCTCAGTGCAGGCAGGAGGGTGCGCAGAGCCGGGAAAAGCTCGGCCTGCTTCTCTTTGAAGACACCATCTCTCCCTCTGTCTCTCTGTCTCTGTGTCCCTCCTTCTCTATCTCTCTGTCTCTGTTTCTCTCTCTGTGTGTCTCTCTGTTTCTCTCTCTCTCTCTCTCTCTCACACACACACACACACACACACACACACACACACAGGCTGAAATCCAGCATCTCACTAGCATAGACATGACAAAACTTGAGTTCCAGACCCAAACTTGGAGGAGACACAGACCTTGGAGAAATGAGGTGCTCTTTCTCAGAGTCTCATATTCTGGATTTATAAAGGAATTGGAAAGGCTGACCTCCGAGGACCCTTCCAGCTCGAACATTCTAAGGTTTTGTGCAATTACAGAATTTCATTATGGAATTCAGAGATACATTGCAGCACTCTCTTTACTAAAGACCTGCCCCCTTCTTTATTATTCCTCACCATGTGTCACGTTCTGTCCCCTGTAGGGTCTCATCTTTGGTGTGAAGGCAATTCTGCCTCCAAACCGCGCCCCCTGCAGGGTGAGGGGGTCGGCCCGCTTTGGGGTGGATGTGTACACTTGAACATGATATCTTACCTGTGACCCCCTCCTTCCCCCTTCAGAGCCGCCTTGCGTGTCGTTTCATCTGGTGCTCACTGCAGTGGGACTGGGAGGTTTATCAGATGATTCCCAAAGAGACAGCTGGCCAGGAGCTGGTCTGGGGCAGGAGTAGTGGAGACAGGCAGAGGGGGTGGGGGGCGTGGGGGGCTGCCTTTTGGGAAGAGGCCCCTGAATGAAGACTGGAACAGACGGTGGGGATCTGGGGCTCCCTCTCGCTGGGACATCTCTGGGAGTCTCGGGGATTCGTGAGCACGATGTGAGGAGGTTTTGCTTTATTTATTTATTGAGAGGCAGAGAGGTGATAAGAGGAGAATTTCTAGAACAGGCTAAGACATTGGGCACATGGAGGTTTGGCTCAAGACTGAGGTCCTGGGCACCCCACAGCATGTGTGGCTGGTTGGGGTGGGAGGTGGGGAACCGTGCTCTGTAGGAAGCTGAACCCAGGGACCCGTCCAGGGCCCACCCTGTGCCGGCTTTAATGAGCAGCTAATATTCTTGTGCCCACGGAGCCTCCTTCTCTTCCGGTTTTGCCCGGAGCAGGGCCTGAGGCAGCCTCTGGGTCTCCCAGCGGCCTGAATCCCCTGAGATCCTCCTCTCCTCTGCCTGTGCTAACTCTTCCTCTCCCCCCGCCCCCTCTTTCAGGAACCTTTTGGACAAAGACATGTTCTCCAAGTCTGACCCACGTAAGTCCTGCTCTGGCAATAATGACGGTAACAACAGCAACGACGTTCCGCGGGATCCTAGCAGCCCACCCTGGAGCCCTTCCCGGGTGCTAACTGTGGCCAGGCGCCACTCCGGGTGCCCCTGGGCTGTTTAGTGTGTCAGTGGCGCTGCCTGGGGGAGCACAGGCGGGCCTGACCCTTCCCAGCCTGCAGGACCTTGTGAAGACTCAACACAACCAAGGGGGTTGGCAGGGGTCCGGGTGCCTGGGGCCAGAAAGTCTTGGTCCCAGGGAAGCTAATACATGTCAGAGCCCCCACTGGCTGTGGTCTGGGGCGGGGGGCGGGGGGATGAGCACGGATTTTCCGGGCCAGGGATCTAACCCTGAGCAATGCCAGTCTACTGTATCACCTCAGACAGGTCGTTGGCCTCCTCTGAGCCTCAGTGTGCCCATCAGTGAAGTGGGGCTGATGATAGGAATAGGCCTCAGGAGGCTGCCTTGGGGTCTAAAAGGATGACTCAGGGTTCCGATGTTCTCTCCTGTGTCTGCACCTCAGTCCTCCTCCACGTGCACCCCATCGTGTCCTGGCCTAGATGCAAATGGCCCCTGACCTCCTCCGAAAGGGGGCCTCTCCCAGACGTGCTCATGTTCTAGGCCCCTTTCCCAAGCCGACCACCCCCACCCCCGCCCCAGACACGACAGTGCGACCCAGATCAGAGTCTCCTGAGGTGCCTCCCCCTTCAGAGCTGTTCCCACATCTGGGACCCCCACTTTCCTCTTGGCCTGGGGTCTTAACCCTCTTTTTCTCCTCTCCCCACAGTGTGTGTCATGTATACTCAAGGGATGGAGAACAAGCAGTGGCGGGAGGTAGGTGACCCCTTCCCCACCCCAGAAATATCATCTGTCCCTCCTTGTGTGTCTGTTTGTCTGACTCTGGAGACACTCCACCTGATGTGTTTTGAAGTACAGCGTCTGAGCCCCTGGGAAGGATAGTAAGGCTTGGAGAGCATGGAGTTTTGTCCCTGCTATTGCACAGAAACATGGTGGAGGGAAAAGTCCCTGCCTTCTGTGTGCCAGTCTGAGGGTAGAGACACAGCCCTGTCCTTGGGGAGCCCCAGTCTGAGGAGGGAGACACAGCCCTACTCTCAGGGAGCCCCAGTCTGAGGAGGGAGACACAGCCCTGCCTCAGGGAGCCCCAATCTGAGGGGGAGACACAGCCCTGTCCTTGGGGAGCCCCAGTCTGATGGGGAGATAGCCCTTCCCTCAGTGGACTCCAGTCTGAGGGGAGACACAACCCTGTCCTTGGGGAACCCCAGTCTGAGGGGAGAGACCCTGCCCTCAGAGAGCCCCATCTGAGGGGAGACATAGCCCTGTCCTCAGGGAGCCTAGTCTCAGGGGGAGACAAAGGGAATCCAGGCCCAATAAGAAAGAAAGATCTTGTGTGGCGGCCTAACACATGGCTATAGCAGCCAGCGCCATGTCTCATCGACACCAGCCTTCCCTTGGTTTCTGACCAAGTTAGGCGATTCCCTTGCCTGGAAACCTTCGGCGACTCCTCTCTGCGTTGAATCAAGTCCCAGCTCTGTAGCCTGACTTCCAAGCTCTGCCAAGAGCCTGCGGAGTCCCTCCCGGATGACAGGGCTAGAACAAGAATAGCCAGTAAAAGCCTCAGTAACTCAGACTTGATTAACAAACCTCCTTCCTTGTTGGGGGATCTGCCAGAGCATCTCGTGCCCTGTGCCCCACCCCTACCCTGTGCGTGGCAGGAGCAAGTGGCTGAAGAGGGTGAATTTTATCCCTAGAATGTATGGGAAGTGTCCCCACAGGGGCGGGGCTAACCTTTACCCTTTTCCCCCTCTCAGAGACCCTAAGCCAATTATGGTGCAAACCAGATTGCTGAGGGAACGGTTAGCCTACTTAAGCAAACTAATTACTTTTGAGGCCTTTTGGCCGAGCTTCACAGAAAACATCCATGTGTTAATGTCGTAGTGATTCATTCAGGGAAAGTCTGGACGGGCCTCTTCTGAAGGGCGCCGCTCCGCTAGCCAGTAGTTACATTCAGTAGTTGAGACTCATCTCCATTTGTGTCAGGGTCCCGGATTGTCGGCCTTGTATGGTTTACCCCCGCACCCTCAGGGTGGATTGGAGGAAAGGTGGGAGGCCTCGGTGTCAGGCACACTTCCGTTCCTGGCTCCAGCCCTTTCTGGAGGTGGGAGCTGGAGCAAGTTGCTTACCCTTTCTGTGCCTCAGTTTCTACATCTGCAATATGGGGATAACACCTACCTTGTGGGCCTGTGGTGAGAGCGAGTAAAACACGACGGGGATGTAATGTGCCTGGTGTGTAGTCGTTGCTCAGTAAATACCGTTGTCTCAGCACCCAGAGTGGGCAGGGCCACACGGTCACTCCCCCATCGGTTAATATTTGCAACAGGGAGCATGTATGTGTCCCAGGCAACATGCCTGATGCAGTGGGGAAAGGGGGAGATAGTACAAAACATGGAGCCTCCCCAAAAGCTGGGGCTACAGGGTTTGTAGCCTGAAAGAGGAGATTCACATGTGTGAATGGTCCTAATAGAGGAAACAGTGCGAGAAGAAAGCATCAGTGGGAATAAAGTGAGGATTCAGAGGACAGAGAGTTACAGCCGGGACGCCATGCTTGGCTAAAGCACTTTTTCTTTTTAAAGATTTATTTTTGAGAGAGACAGCGCAAACAGGGAAGGGGCGGGGAGGGGGGTCAGTGGTGGACAGAAGATCCCAAGTAGGCTCTGTGCTGTCAGCTCTGTGATGTTCGATGTGGGGATCGAACTCATGAACCGTGAGATCATGACCTGAGCAGAAGTCGGATGCTCAACCCACCGAGCCACCCCAGCGCCCCGAGCTAAAGCACTTTGATGGCTCATTGGACTTTCATTTATTTATTTATTATTTAAAATGTTTCTTAAATGTTTATTTTTGAGAGAGAGAAACAGAGTGCAAGTAGGGGAGGGGCAGAGAGAGAGGGAGACACAGAATTCAAAGCAGATTCCAGGCTCTGAGCTTTCAGCACAGAGCCCAGTGCGGGTCTCGAACCCACGTACCTCAATATCATGACCTGAGCCAAAGTCAGATGCTCAACCGACTGAGCCACCCAGGCGCCCCTAGCTAAAGCACTCTGATCGCTCATTGGACTTTTAAAAATCAAATGTGACTAAACACAGGCCATCAGGTAAGGCGTGCATGGTGTGGAGCAGAGGAGAACATGGTCAGAGGAACTTTAGGGATCAGCCGCTCCACCTTCTCGTTCTCTAGAGAGGGGCAGGACTGGCCTCAGGGGGTGGAGGCAGGGACTAGCCCCCAGTGCAGAGGCAGCATCCACTTGGAGGAGCGGGGTTTCCCTGAAGCTGGGGGACACGGCACAAGAGCCCGCAGCAAAGATGGTAGTTAGAAGCGAAGGCACAGCGTGAGGCCGGCATGAGCAGTCAGTCCGGGTCCTGGGTAGCTGGGGGATGTAATAAGGGGCTATTTATAAAGGCGTTCTCAGGGTTTAGGGAAACCAATGAGGGGTGATGAGTCATGAGGCCGGCCCCAGTATAAAGCCATCCCTGCTACAGGCCTGAGGAGGTGAGGGGAGGCAGCAGGTCCTGGAACCCCAGGGGGCCTTCCCAGGATGAGCAGGGGCCCGGGCAACCTCACTCTCTTTCCACCCCTGCTCTCCTGCCAGTGCCTCCCGCTGGTATCACCCCACTGGAAGCAGAGGACTGTTGATGCAGTGTACAACGGGTCTGCCTCCCAGGCACAGAGCAGGGTGGACAAGACAGTGGATCCAGAGGGGCAGAGGGAGATAGTCCAGAATGGACTGCGAGCAGATGAATGAGGCTGGCAAAATAGAGGAAGAGGCAACTCAGGGAGCTCATGGCGGTCAGGCTGAGGACAGCTGGGGTCATGGGGTCAGAATGTCAGAGCAGGAGGGTCCCTAGAGATCAAGGAGGCTGCCCCGTGGACAATCAACACCATCCCCCAGCCTTCCGGGGTGATGGTGGCAGAGCTCAGTCCCCCGGGTACCCCTAGGACACAGGCTTCAAGCTATTTCTGGAGAAGGGGAGACACACTCAAACATATCGAGGCCCTATTTCTTTGCCTGATTCTTTCCGTGACCCACAGAGGAGAGTATCAGGAATAGAAACTTTAAAGGAAAATCCAGATCTATCTCTGGAGCTGCCCCTGGGATGGCAGACTGCTCTTGCTCATAAACAGGAACGGATTCCCACCTGTTAGTTCATTGCAAAACGTCTGTTAGTGGAGCCTTGGCAGAGAGGTGATCACCCCGTGGCCAGGAGGAGTCAAGTGCAGGCACAGCAGTCTTTCCAGGCAGGGCCCAGACCCCAGGTGCCCACAAGGCTGCAGCATGATGAAAGCTGTTCTCTCAGCCCCTGGCTGCCGGGTTTCGGCTGATTCTAACCGTTTGGGTCATTTTAATGCCTTCTGAGAAAGCTCCGTCTTCCAGAACCTAAATCTGTCAATGCATTTTATGAAAATTGACTCAAGATGTAATTTTAGCCCAGAAAATCGAGCACTGTTTGCATCAGGGCTCGCCAGGGCCTTCTGCGTGTCCCAGGGAAGGGTGGACGAGCAGGTGGGAAGGGTCCCAGAAACATCCTCACCAGGAGGAGGGACGTAGTAGGGAGCGCCTCTTAGTTCCCCGTTTAAAAAGTGTGTGAGCTGGTGATCCCGGCCCCTCACTGGCCAGGCAGCTGTCCTGGCCAAGGGCCCCCTGGAAAGGAGGAGATGGGTAGCATGGAATCTTAGGGTGTCCCACCGATCCCATACGGCCTGTGGGGCATTGGCTCTGGTGGCCACGCCCCCACATCCCTGCCAGAGTGCTATTTTTGAGCAACTCAGTTCCTGGAACATTTAACAGTGGCTGGGAATGACACTTCATCTCTAAATGTCAACAAGTATGTGTGGATTCCTACTGTGTGCCAGGGTAGATTGCTGGGGACACACAGGGGCACCAGACTGTTGTCTACAGCCAGAAAAGCTCACTTTCGATTCAGGAAGGTAACAATAATGACAGTAACAGCAATAAGAATTCTAACCACAAACACATCTATTAACAGTGGCGCACTGGGCATGGTTCTAAGTATTTACAAATAGCAACTAACTTAATCCTCACGACAACCCCATGCAGAAGGCATTATTACTATTATTATTATTGGCCCCATTTCACAGAGAGGTTAAATGTGAAAGTAACTTCTAGAACATGATGTTGTAAGAACTATACTAGTTCTGTATAAAGGGCAGAATGCCACTCAGCCCAACTTCGACCGTCCTTAGATGCGCAGAAGAAGTTGATTTTCTCTTCCACGTGCTCTTACTCTCAGTATTTGAGGACAGCTTATGGGGCCGTTAGTCCACTTTAGGCAGATTTAGAATGTGACCATTTCTATCAGTACTTTCTCTTTATATCACGGTCTCTTGTTCCTTGTCCAGTCTGGTCACGCTCCCTGGAACGCGTGTCCATTCATCAGTGCTCTTCCCAGAGTGGGCGTCCCGCTGCGCTCCCTTACGTATCTAGTCCAAAGCCTCATGGGTATGTTCCCTCCTTCCTGGGGCTTGGACTAGACAATCCTGCTCCTGCCTCTCTGATTCCGTGTCTGTGTGTGAGGGTCGTACATCTGTTGTGCTATCTAGGATTTCGCCGAAGGTGTCTTTGACTTACTTCATCTTGAGTGCAGGGCTTCTGTGTCTTTTTCACACCAACTGCTCTCCACACAGGGTTCCCCCAGCTCAGACTTCACGACTGAATTTTTGAACCTCCGTGTGAGAGTTTATATTTGTCTTCATTGATTCAGTGGATCTGTCACTTGATAGGTCCGGTCTGTTGTACG